ACCCACAACCCACAACCCACAACCCACAACCCACAACCCACACCCCACACCCCACACCCCACACCCCACACCCACACCCACACCCACACCCCACACCCACACCCACACCCACACCCACACCCACACCCACACCCACACCCACACCCACACCCACACCCACACCCACACCCACACCCACACCCACACCCACACCCACACCCACACCCACACCCACACCCACACCCACCCCCACACCCACACCCACACCCACACCCACACCCACACCCACACCCACACCCACACCCACACCCACACCCACACCCACACCCACACCCACACACCCACACCCACACCCACACCCACACCCACACCCACACCCACACCCACACCCACACCCACACCCACACCCACACCCACACCCACACCCACACCCACACACACACACACACACACACACACACACACACACACAACACACACACACACACACACACACACACACACAACACACACACACATGTAGAGATAGAAAGAGAGAGAGAGAGAGAGAGAGAGAGACGTGGAGACATTGGAGGATGAGGACCAGGAGGAATAGGAGGAGGAGGCGTAGCAGGAGGAGGAGGAGGAGGGATGAGGAAGATGAGGAGGAGGCGGAGGAGGAGTAGGAAGAGGTGGAGGAGGAGGGTGAAGAGGGGAGTGTCCTCAGGTCACTTGGGGTCCTCTGTGCAGAGCAGTGGATACATTTCGAGGGGCCGCCGCCCCGAGCTCTGTGCGCCCCTGGGCGCTTCTGGGACCGCGCGCCCCCGCGTGTCCTCCTCGGAGCAGGAGGGCTCCAAGACGGGCCAAGAGAGCGCCAAGAGGCCGCCATGGCGGCCCTTAGACGCCTCCGCGACAGCCCACGAGCGCTCCAAGATGCGCAAGCTGGCCGGCCGCCGAGACGGCCCCAAAGGCGCCAAGACTTCCCCCCCCTCCCCCCCCCCCCTGAGGCCACCTGCTCTAGGCTCTGGCCTCCTCGTGGAGGGCTCCGATAGGTCAACGTCATTGACTTCCCATCGGCGTTCGAAGGATTTTATCGTTCTCGCCTTGTCAGGCGTCCGGCGCTGCAAGACGAAGAGGCCTCCAAGATCGCCGCAAGAGGCCTCTAAGAGGGCCCCCAGGCGGCCCAAGAGGGGCCATCCACGGCCGACGAGGCCGCCCAAACAGCAAAAGACGGGTCCCAGGAAGGGGAACTCGAACGGACATCTCGCGCTCTCCACCAGCACGCCCCCAAGGGGACCCCCACAAGCCCCAGGAGGCCCCACAGTGGCCCGAACCAGGCAGGCTCCAGGAGGACCCCAAGAAGCGCCGAGAGGCCCCACGACACCCCCAACACCGCCACCAAGATGCTTCCAAGATCGCCATAGGCTTCCAAAAGGCCTCTGACCTACAACTGACGCGCGGTGGCGGGATGGGCCGAAGGCATATCTTTTTCTGTGTTCTCTCTCTCTCTCTCTCTCCATATGTGTGATAGATTTTTAAAATAATGGTATATATATGTATATTTATGTATGTATGTATGTATGTATATATGTATGTATATATATATATATACATGCATGTGTGTATATATATAAATATATGTAGACATAGATTCAACATACTGCACTGGCGCTTCGCGTCGTACACCTGGGTCCTTCAAGCGTGGCATGCAAGCGGGATGACAGATACGCAAATCAATCATATTAAGACTCGTTGTTGGCATTTTCGTTACCGTCGTTTACATATTTGTATTCCTTCTCCTTCTCGCTCTCGCCCTACCTTGCGAACCATTCCCCGTCATCCTCCGCTGTTTTTTGCGATGCTCCTCCTGGGAAAGACGTCTTGGAAACCCCACAACGTGTTTTACGGGATTCTTTGGGGCTTCTGGAAACCGGGCCTCCGGGGCCTTGCTCGGACCACGCTGCTGCGAACCACAGCCTCCCTCAGCGACAGGGTCACGATGCGAAATGCTTCGGGGTGCCTCGTGGAGCCATCGTGGGCCGTCGTGGGGTTCTCCTCAGGCCATCTTTTGGCCTTGCTGGGCCGTCATGGGGCTCCCGTGGACTGTCTGGAAGCCCTCTGGGGGTAATTTTGGGACGACTTTCGAAGGCTCTTGCGCTGTCTCGGACGCCCCGAAAACCGAAGACCCGAGTATCGACCAAACCAAGAAACAGTAGAAAGACATCCATGGCATTGTTCCGTCTTCGGCCGTCTGGTCGGTCCTGACCGCTGTGGGCACGCTAGCTGGGTCCGGTAGGGGCTCCCAGGAGGCCTCGAAGGCTTGGGACGTCTCCTGCAAGTGCGTCCGAGAGGGCTCTAGGGCCAGGGATCCAGAAGCTTCGTCTTTTGTTTGTTTGCTCATGGTTTGCATGTGTGTGTGTGTGTATCGACACGAATGTGTATATATCATTATACATACGCCCCCCAACATATACACATACATATATATATATATATATATATATAGTGATACATATGCTCCCCCACACACATATATACATATTCATATTCATATATTTATATTGCCCGACCCCCCCCTAAACGGGACCCCCCCCCCCGTGACGCCCCGGACGCCCTTTCGGACGCCTCGGCGGCCCCCGGGGCGCCCTCGGAAAAGGTCCGCTGGCCCTTCCGGGCCTCCCATGGCGCCTTGCCGGGCTTTGCGAGCAGACTCAAGGCGGTCCAAGGGTGCATCGGAGAGGCGCAAGAGAGACGCAAGACAGCACAAGAGCGCTCCAAGAGGAACCTCGATGGTAGAGGCCCCCATGACGCCCCAAGAGGCCGTAAAGAGAGCCTCGAAGGAACAACAATCGTCTCATTCCTTGACACAAATGTAGATGTTTAGCATATCCGCTTCTTGGATCTTCGCACCGTCCAAGACGGCCCGACGGGACGTCAATATCGCCCCCAAAAGCTCCCCAAAGGGTTTGCAGACGGCCCCCCAAGGGGCCCCAAGACTGCCCCAGAGAGCCCCAAGACTGCCCCCAAGATGTTCAAGATGCCCCCAAAAGGTTCCAAAGAGAGACCCACGAAAGCCACGGGAGACCCCCGAAAAGACCGTTGGGGGCCCCCAAGAGGGCCCAATATGGTTTCAGAAGACCTCTGGAGGGCCGCAGCTCCCAAAACGGCAAAACAAATGCCCAAGGACAGCCCGGGAGGGCCCCAGGACGGCCCAAAAGAGCACCCAAAACGCCCAGACTGCGTTCACCGTGCGCTCGTCGCGCTCACGCCAGCCCGCCTGTCTTCCCCGTACCTCTATCACCCTCTCTGTCTTTCTCTCCCTTTCCCCCTTTGCCTCCTTCGCCGACCTCCACGTTCGAAGCATCCGATGGCCATTCTCATTCGCCCGCTCCTTCCTCTGGACCTTCTCCCCGTTTTTCCCCCCCTCCTCCCCCTTTCCGCTTCTTCGCCCCCCCCATCGCCCCTGCTCCCTTCCCGTTCCCTCTTCATGCGCCGGTGCCATCGCAACAGTTCGATGCTTCGTCGTTTGCCAGCTTCGCGCGTGAAGAACTCATCATTCGTTTCCCACTTCTGCGCGCAAGCGAATTGAGCGAACGCTGTGTCAGCAGGCGCCAAGGATATCAGAAAAATGAGCCGCACTCTTAATTTTCTATTTTCCCTCCCCCCCTTAAACCGGCCCCCCCCCCCGAAGGACGGCCCGGATGGCCTTTCGGACGTCTCGGCGGCCCCCGGGGCGCCCTGGGAAAAGGTCCGCTGGCCCTTCGGGGCATCCCAGGGCGCTTTGCCTGGCCTTGCGGGCAGACTCAGGGCGGTCCAAGGGTGCGTCGGAGAGGCGCAAGAGGGACCCAAGACAGCACAAAAGCGCTCCAAGAGGAACCTCGATGCTGTGAAAACGAGCCAGGAGGCCCCCAAGACGCCCCATGAGGCCGTTAAGAGAGCCCCGAAGAAGCACAAATCATCCCGTTCCCTTAAGAGTGATATATATATATATATACATATGCACGGATATCTATATATATATGTATATATATATATAGATATACACATATATATATACACGCATATACATAGTTAACTTTATATATTATATACAAGACTGCACTGGCGCTTCGCGCCAGTGCAGTCTTGTTCCGGACGCTTCCCTGGCAAAACAATGAATCATCGTTTGCTTCATCAGCGGGGAGCTCGAGGCCTGGACGGGCACCGGGTCATTTTTCTGATATCCTTGGTGCTTGCTGACACTGCGTTCGCCCGATGTGTTTTGCACGCACGTGCGCAGGAGTGCGGAAGGAATGATGCTTCTTTTCGCGCGCGAAGCAATTGGCGAACAACGAAGCATCAAACTGTTGCGATGGCACCTGTCCATGAACGGGGAGCGGGAAGGGAACAGGAATGATGGGGGGGACTGAGGATGCGGGAGGGGGAGGACGGGGGGAGAAACGGGGAGAAGGTCCAGAGCAAGGAACAGGGGAATGAGGATGGCCATCGGATGCCACGACCGTGGAGGTCGACGAAGAGTCACAGGGGGGAATAGAGAAAGGGAGGAAGAGAGAGAGAGAGAGAGAGCGAGAGAGAGAGAGAGAGAAAGCGAGAGAGAGAGAGAGAGAGAGAAATAGAAAACACGAGCGCACAGATGACGCAGTCTGGGCGTTTCTGAGCTCTTTTTGGGCCCTCCTGGGGCCCTCCTGGGCCGTCCTGGGGCCTCCTCGGGCCGCCTTGTGGAGCTGGAGCCCTCCAGAGGTCTTCTGAAGCCATCGAGGGCCCTCTTGGGGGCCTCCAGTGGCCTCTTGGGGGTCTCCCATGGCTTTCGTGCGTCTCTCTTGGGAGCCTTCTGGGGGACATCTTGGGCTTCTTGTGGGCAGTCTCGGGGCTCTCGGGCAGTCTTGGGGCCCTCTCGTGCAGTCTTCAAACCCTCTGAGGGGCCTCTTGGGCCGTCTTGGGGCGATATCGGGGGCCCATCGGGCCAATTTGGACGCTGCGAAGACCAAAAAAGCGGATATGCTAAAGATATACATACGTTTTCCGCAGGGAGTGGGGCGATG